CCACACTTTTGCCAAAAGAGCTTTATGAAATCAACAATTTACACATTTACACAACGACGTAAAAATCAGGGTTCGTAGGTTCCACAGGTGAACAAGGGATGCCAGCTGGGACTCATAGGCTCTCTGTTTGGCTCACGTCGACGTGCCTATTTCTCTGCTCTTACACTCATCAACACATTGTCGTGTGTGATACTGTTTGACATTCTTTGCTAGAACCCACTTAGGTCTGGCACCCGTGGAGACACAAGCATAGCCTTTGCCCCAAGTTATTAGTCAAAAAGGGCCTTCAATTTGTCCTGTCTCAGAGTTTCTAATTAAAACAGGGGGATTTTCTTTTCATTTTGCTTGTGTGTTATTTGAAAAATGCCTAAAAGCTAGTGGATCGGGTTCTGTCAAAGATCTGTCCCAGAAATTAAAAACATATAAAGCTTTGCTCAATCTCATCAGAGGTGTCGCCTCTACTCCCCCTTCTTTTGATCTAGAATGCATTCTAGGGTGCGATATGTCCTTTCAATAATTGCTTGACTTGTAGAGGAGTAGGGATTTCCAAAAGAGTGGCAAACACCCCAGTCCATTGTTGCCTTGAAAACTCAACTTTTCCACCTTGTTTACGTAATTTCTAAGAACTTTCCCAGGACAGTGACTGTAAACTTAGATAGATATACATTCTTTCTGATACATGTCTTTTGATGGACGTCTCGCACAGCCAGTGTGATTGGAAAGGTGGTAACCTAACTCTCCAATCCCTGGTCATTGCCGAGAATCTATAAATACTGAAGTTGTAAGAATAAAACCATTTTTTCCCCTATCATACGGGAGCTGTGTCTGTGTGAGTCATTGCGTGTCCTACAGCGACAGTCCATCAAAAATGTGGCCAATTTTTGGGCTGTATATGCAGGGCCATTGTCTGGTTTTACTTCTTGGGGTAGTCCTAGTGAAGCAAATGACTGCAAAAAGTGTTGACAGGCATGATTGGCTGTCTCTCCTGTGTGAACAGAAGCAAAACCTGCACCTGAAAAGGTGTCAACTGATATGTGAATATTTTTACATTTCTCAAAGGAAGGGTAATTAGTGATGTCCATCTGTCATAACTGCAGGCCTTGCAAACCCCATGGGTTGATAGCTCCTGTAGAAGCAGAGGACTGCACAAGCTGACAGTCAGAGCAAGTACTAATGATGGCTTTAGCTTGACTTTTAGAAATGTGAAACCTCCGCACAAGTGCTTTTGCATTTTGGTGGAAGAAGGCATCACTTAGTTTTGCTTGTTCAAAAATGTTTGGCAAAGCATTACAACAACCATTGTCAACTTATCCGCTCTTGCACTTCCTTCTGCTAAAAATCCCAGAAGTGAAGAATGAGCCCTAATGTGAGAGGCAAAATATGGATTAGTTCTGTATTGTGAAATTGCATCAAAGCTTGAAAGCCAACAATACAAGGTATAATTTCCAAAGTCTTTTAGAACTGATCCTTCTACTCTTTTAACTACATTACCAACATAAGCACAATCTGTAATTAAATTCAAAGGTTCTGGAAAAGATGAAAGGCCCTGACTACAGCAGCTAATTCAATAATTTGAGGAGATCCCTTCACTCTTTGTATGTGCAATTCCCATGTTTTAGTTGTTTGATTTAGCCGTACTATCACTGATTTGTGTGTTTTCCCTGATCCATCAGTGAAGAGAGTTACAGCACTTAAAGGTTCTTCGCTTAACATGGGTTTTTCTCTAAAACTCAATTTTGCTTGCAACCATTTATGAGCTGGGTAATGAATAGAACAAACATTCTATTCTGAAAAATTCAACAATGCATTTTGCAAATCATCTGAATTTTGCAATGCCCAATCAAGGTAATCTTTTTTCAAAGGTAAACAAATAACTGCAAAATCTTGGCCTGCTAAGGTGAACAACCTTGTTCTGGCTCTAATTATAATTTGTGCTGTCATCTCCATAGTTGTAAAAATTGTCTTTGGGGACCTATAAAGAAGAAAAACCCATCCATTATTAACAAAGGATCTCTTTCAGAAGCATCCCATTGAAAAATGAGACCATAAAGTTGCAGTTTTTCTCCCAAAACTGCAAGAAAAAAGGGATTTTCTGGAGCACATCAGTGGGCTTGTCTTCTTTGGAAAGCCTCTGTGACCTTTCCAAGGGCTACTTGAGCTTCAGGTGTTAGAGCCCTAGGAGATTTGATACTACAATCTCCTCTTAATAAGTCAAAGAGTGGGGCAAGTTCATCGTTGGTAATTCCCAAAATACGTCTGACCCAATTAATTTCCCCCAGAAGCTGTTGTAAATCTTGCAAGGTGTTGACACTGGTCCAGAGTTGTATTTCCTGTAGAGGAATTGCTTGTTCAGGCATTCTCACACCCAGATATTTCCAGGCCAGAACTTCTTGAATTTTGGATGTAGAAATTTCCAGTCCGGCCTTTTGAATTTCAGTAACAACACTGTCATGAGTTTGTTCCATTTCTGCTTGTGTTGGTGCTGCAATAAGCAAATTGTCCATGTAGTGTAAAATCATAGATTGTGGGCGCTTCTGTCGAGCTGGAGACAGAGCTTGTGCAACGAAATATTGGCATTATTGGAATTGGAATTATTCATCATTGCTTGAGGCAAAGATTTCCAGTGATATCTTTGCAATGGTTCTCCTCTAGTGATAGCTGGAACCAAAAAAGCAAACCTCAGTGTTGACGAGTTTGGCGGGAGAAAATGCAGCACTCAATATGAATGATCAGCAAGTCTCATTTATTGGTAACTCCAAAACCACTTATATAGCACCAATAATTAGGCTCATACATAGTGCAAAAGCAAGCTCATTATTGGATATTTCATTTAAGGTCAACTCCACCTAATTCTACATTCCTGTGATCGCTCAGCTATGCTGAATTCACATTCTTCTGATCACAGCATCCTGTTCTCAGTTAACAGTTATCACTAAGGCCTTCCTGACTTTTGCAACATCTCACACCAACTGTACTCCATTGTCTAACTCTTTCCCAGCTAACTGCTGCATGGGAATATGACCTTTGCTCTCCAGCCATTCCTCTACAGCCTGGTATTCCAAGATGACCTGTTGGTGGACCATGCTCTCTTGGTCCACTAAAATTATTTGCCCCCCACATGAGGAATTTATTGAATGCCAGTCAAAGTCATCATCAAAGATCACATTGATCCATTTGAATTTTGATGAGACTTGTAATGCCAATGTGCAATTACCATCATTGGTGACTGTCATTGCAACATCTTTCCATTTACCAGAGGGAATGGCTGCCAGGAATGTGAAAAATAAAGCTCGTCTTGCCTGTTGGGTTGACAAACAGTTGCATTTGACTAAGAAAGTGTTGAGTGAGTTGCTGACTGATGTTGATAGTATTCGGCATGACACCCATGCAGAATTGCGCAGCTATAGATTTTTTGTTATTAGCACATGGACATGGATGTGAAGATTTTGAAGGAATGTGTTGTTTTAACTTATCTGAGCACTCCCAAAATATTGATAAACAAATGGCAGGACTACATGAAAACATGAAGCATATCAGAGAATGACATGATCCTTTTTCTTTCTAGTTTGGGTTTAAGGGGTTGGTGGCAGGCCTTGGTCAAGAGGGCAGTAATGTTACTGATTGTATTTCTAAGCTTTCTGCTGCTTCTTCCTTGTTTGTTACAATGCCTTCAACAAATGTTGCACCATTTAATTCCTCCAATTTTAAAGAAAAGAAGGGGAGATGTAGGACCCTGAGCTGCATTAGAACAAATTTCACCATAAAGAGAAAGAGTTAAGAACGTGGGCAAGGTTATCAGACAGGGAAGAAACAGTTGTGGTCAGCAAAAGAACACAAAGGAAGAGCCAAAGGAGATGAGAGATAGAGAAGTTGAACACACAAGTTGTGGTCCCATATACACAAACGTAATTATCCAATACAAATGCTTACAAGGATGTGTGCAGCCAGTTCTACAGGAGATACTTGTATGAATAGATCTATATACAGTATAAAAGTAACCAAGCTTAGAGAATAAACAAATGATCTGATCCTCCTATTGGTGCTGTGTTATTCCTGTTCCTGCATGAAGAAATGAAGACCCTGGCACTGAACCTATGACAATGACTAGCAGAGAGCCTCAGGATACCCCTACTCTCATGTCAATAAATTCTGAGTTGTGATTTAAATCTGTCAGAAAATGAAAATGGTAAAAATGAAACATTTTCCAGCTGTTTCTCTCTGGTTTATGTTTTTTGAAGGCCAAAGCTCTGTACTGCAGGTGGCCCAAGTGTATGCAGAGTAATGCAGCTCCCAAAAAAACCCCTTGTTTTTCCCAGAAGTCATTATCACTTGTTCCCAGGTGTGTCCAGATCTGGCAGGAGAAAGAGCCCACAGCACAGTGGGCACCGTGCCCTGCCCAGACAGAGCTCTCTGGCACTGAGCAGCAGCAGCAGCAGCAGCGCCAGCACTTTTCAACCTGCTCCTGCCTTGGCTTCACCTGGGGGACAGAAGGCTCTGGAAATCAGCACTGCCACTCATGTTCCCAGCTTGGAGCAGCTGCTGCTGCTGCTGCTGTGCAGATCCTGCCAGTTCAACTGCTTCCAAATGGGAATAAAGGCAGAGATATATGTACACAGGAGCCCTGGGCATGTCCAATAAATATGCAAATATGTGGAGAGATTTGTTAAGAATTATTTCAGCTGTTATGGCAACAGTGCTTTCTTTCCTGGTTCTGTGCAATGCTTTGGGCCATTCTCTTGGTCTGGTTGCCTTGTCTTTGGTCCCATGTGAGTGTCAGTTGGGGCACTCTTGCTTTTACTCTTGGATCCCTTGAACAACAGGGTTTGTTTCACCAGGGGACTTTGTGCAGCTTTGTGACAGAGGAGAACTTCCCAGGCTATTTGGTGTTTGCTGTAGGGGAGGTTGGGTTCCTTTGCATAAATTTGCATAAATTCCAAGGCAGAACACTTGCTTTGTGATGTCAGGACATGGTTGCCACGTTGTCGTGGTGACATCAGAAGGTTGCCTTGGTGCACGGAAGGCCTCAGTGTCAGAGCAGCTCTTGGGCTTGCTCAGTGCAGGAGCATCCTCCTGCTTGAGGCGTTTGTCAGTGGGCAGCTGCACACTGACAGGAGCCTTGTTCTTCTTGAGTTGGAGCAGTGTCTGCAAACTGGCACAGCAGTGCTCCAGTGATGGAGCCACTCGCTGCTGCAGTTTGCACTGTTTACGGCTTTTTTTATTCCGGCTATTACCTGACAAACCTGGCATGTAAGTAGAGGTTTTCCCTGGGTGTAACCTAAGCTGGATTTTGTAGGTCTTCCTGCTTTTTCTTAGTGCCTGGATTGATTTTGAAACAGAAGGACCATTAGGATGCCACTGCTTTGCTAGAGCTCCTGTCAACAAGTTTAGCAAAAACGGGATGCCTGTAGCCAGGGGTCTGCAGGCAGCATTTGCAAGGGTTCCATTCCCTGCACAGGAGAGTCTGTGGCAGCAGAGTCTGTCCTTTCCTCAGTTTGCTGGCTCAAGCAGGATAGCTTTGAAAATGCAGAGACCTTCTCAGAAGGCCTTCTTAAGACTTTGTGGTTCTCCCCATAATTGAGGGAAAGCTTCTTTTGTTCTTAGTTTTGTCATGAAAGGATTTGATTAAGTTCACCCTTTTCTGAGTTCTAGAATAGCAATAGCCTTTGCAATGAAGTGCAAATTCCAAAGCAGTGAGTGTGTGCTCCTGAGCGCTGGAGCTGCTGTTGCTGTGCTGCACAATAGAACTGCCACACTGGAGCTGCTGTTGCTGTGCTGCACAATAGAACTGCCACAGCTCAGGGGGATTTGGGGGAAGATTTTCTGGGCCAATGTTTTCAGCAAGTTAATGAGAATTACTGCATGCAACTTATCTTTTTAAAAAGTACTTGAAAGGGAAAAGAGCAAAAGCTACTTTATCTGTTGGACAAGACTCGAGCATTGACTGTTAAAGAACACTTTGCATGTTCTTGATCAACTTTGTGTTCACTTACTGGCAAAAGAGGCCAAAGTGTAGGCACAAGCAAGAATAGTGCCCAGTTCCCTTTCTGCATGTTGGAAAGAATTATGCACCCTGAGGGATGCTGTCAGAGGAAAATACCCTCTGTTTGGGTTCACTTATTCTATGGGATTCAGCAGCCCAGGCAGTTTTCTCACCCCATTGCGTTCATTTTCCCTTGCTCACTGCAGGTCACCTGAGGCGTGTGTTCAGAGGTGCCGATCCTGAGGTGAGTGAGAAAGGAACCTTTGATGTTCCTGCTGTTGGAGAATTGTGGAGCAAGCTGGGAGCTTGGCCTGTGGCAGTAGAGTGTAGGTGGCCAGCTGAGTAGGCTGAAAGGAAATCCATTTCCATGTCTGCAGCAGTGATAGCAAAGGCATTGCTGCCTATTTCCTCATCTTCCACTGCAGTGCTTTCAAAGAACCAGAAGACCAGTTTTGCAGAGAGAACACTGCTTCTTGATAGTAGCCAGGGTGGGAGATCTAATTCAGACAATTTGCAGTCCAGTTGAATTAAGCCATTTTCATTTAGTTGGAGTGACTTAGAATCCCATTGCTATCAAAGTGGGTGATTTGTCTTTAGTCGAGCTGGTTGTAGAAATAGAGCAGAATAGAAGTAAGGTTATAAATGATAGGTAGCTGCCTGTCCCTAACACTACTATCTCTGCACAGAGCCCAGAACCAACAGTAGACTCTTCTCTGGCTCCCTCTGCTCCTGGAGAAGAGGCCAAAGAGGAGCAAAATGACCGCGAGCCTCCAGCAGTGGTCACACCCCAGCCTGAACATTCAGAGACTGTAAGTGCCACTTCTGGCTGGTGTTGTCTTTAGTGCAAGGCACAGCTGCAAGTTCCTGAGCAGCCAGCACTTGCTGTTGGTAGCTGAGGCTGCTGAGTGCAGGAGTCGTGCCAGCACCTAGCAAGTCACCCCAGCCAATGGCAGCTGAAAAATGACTTTTGATCTGTCATGTTTAGGCCCCCAATTGCTGGGATTCTGAGAGGGGCCAGCCTGAAGCATGAAGGCTCCCTGTGCCCAGAGGAGGGAGCATGTCAAAGACACTCTGCTCAGCCATGTCACATTCTGGAGAGGACACTATGGTCTGGAGAGTCCTGTGCCCTACAGACTGGCCAAGAAGCTGCAGGCACAAAAGATGTGGATCTGACCACACAAGCGCTTTGGGCTGGTTTGTCCCCATGAGCTTCTTGGGTGTGCTTACCTGGGAGTATTTCAGAAACACACTGGGGATGTGAAATTTCTGACTGAAATCAGGGATTTTGGTGCCTTTGTTGCTGGGTTGCTGTTTTGCCTCTTCAGGCAGAGCAGTCAGTAGCAGAGCTGGCAGGTGCTCTGAGCCCACTTCTCTTCTGGCTTTTGATAAGCTGCAAAGAGATGATTTTGTGGTCTATGAATCCATGTGGGGCCACTCTTCTCTTGTGGCAGAAGACACAAATTGCACTGTCCTGAATCCTTCTTCTGAGGCAAAACCAGAGACTCCATATGTTTATTGAGACTTTTCTTTCTGAAGTCTGCAGCTTTGAAAACTCCCCTGGAGCCTGGAGGCTGGGATAAAGCTGCAAGTCCTTGAGTGCTGTCTTGTGTTGCTAAGAACAGGAAAGACATCTCCAGATTCTGGAGTCAAATGTGTAACGTGGTGCCTGAGCAGCTGCCTGGGACAAAGCACCCAGGGGTGTCGCTCAACAGCAGCTGAACGTGAGCCAGCTTGGGCCCAGGTGGCCAAGAAGGCCTGGGGCATGCTGGCCATGTGTCAGCAAGAGTGGGGAAGCAGGAGCAGGGCACTGAGCGTCCCCCTGTGCTGGGCAGCGCCGTGGTGCTTCAAGTCTGCTTCAAGCAGACTTCCATCAATCCCGACATGACAGTGCTCACCACTTGGGCCACTTTCCTGCCAAACATCTCCTCCCTACAGCCAAGAGGATTAGACCCTGGAATGGGTGACAATTTCATCTTTTGCTTTGTTTATTTGTCTATTGGTTTGATTGTAAAAAGGACTCTGTGTAATTTCTCCTTCTGCAGCCATTAAAGGTGCTTTGGCTCAACCCTTCCTGCCCACTTGCAGCACTGGAAGAGACTCTGTCAGAATTTGAATTTGGAAGATGGCAGTTCTGGAAAATGCAGTATTTTTGCAGGAGAACACATAGTTTGGGGTGGGGATGTTGGGGCAGAAGGAGCTGTTCTAGTGCCAGGCCAGACAGCAGGGCTCGCACATGACTTTCAGGTGAACAGTGCCCATGGTTGATCAATAGGTGTTGTGTTTGGGAATTGAGCAGGAAATCAATGGCCTTGCATTCCAGCTGAGATGGTGCTGAGAGATCAGAGAGGCCGGGAGGGGATGGGCTTCATTTCTGATTGCAGCCACTTCAGCACCATCAGTGTGGTTGAGTCCAAGAGAAAAACTTGTCTGAGCACAGATGCACAAAGACTGCAGTTCCCAGAGCAGTGCTCTGCGTCTGACTGCAAAGGACCAACACAATCCAGATTCCCCAAGAGTGTGATTTATTGAAGCAACAGGAGAGCAAGTTCAGCACTGCTGCTGATGGGGGCATTGGCTACCAAGTGTTGATGTGTGTAGGGATAGAAAAATATAGTAAGAGAGTTTATAATAGTGAGATCTATCTATCTATCTATCTATCTATCTATCTATCTATCTATCTATCTATCTATCTATATCATATATTCCATTTGAATTTTCCCATCTCTGCTCCAAAGCAGTTGGTGGTATAAAGGTCATCTAAAGGCATCCCTTTGAGTAGAGGACGAGATACAGGTTCCATTGACTGATCTGGAGCAGGCAGAGATGATTCCCCCTGCAGAGATGGTTGTTTTTTCCCCTCACGGATCTTTTCCTCCTCCACTCTCTTCTGCTGTGAAACCTTCTTTTTATGCAACAAATTGCTGCATGTCCTAAGGGAGTGGAACAATCTCAAGCTCAAGGTGGAGTTTGGAGACTTTGGTCATACATGGATTACATGACACATGGTTTCCTTCATTGGCATCCCTCGGGGTGTGTCAATTCATTTGTTGATGGGGCCTTTGGAGGATCTCTGTTAGTGCTGCTCAGAATTCTCAGCTGACAAAAGAGGGAGGATAAACACCTTGGTCCTCTTCCATATACTCAGGTGGCCATAGGGGCTCTCTGACCTCCATCAGAAGATCAAATTGCACACATCTTTATCTCCTGAACGAGCAGGATTTCTAACAAGAGTATAGATGTCAGAAAGGCAGGAATGGTGGTGCAGACCTGAAGAGAACATGAACTCCACAAGTGTCTCTCACAAGGGATGAAATCACACAGGAAGCCACCTGCAGGGCCAGGATGGAGCTGTGGGACAGGGCTGAGTGTGAGTGACTATGGAAAGACAAAGAGGACAGAGCAGAAGGGGAGGGAGGCCCTCAGCAGACCCTTGAGAAATGGCACACATTTCCTGTCAGCTGCGCAAGAGTCTTTTGGGGATTCAGACCCAGCTGGACCCTGATTGTACTGCCAGTGTCACTTTGGAATCTGTGTCTCCCCATGGGCAGAGAACAAGCCAGGAGAGCAGCAGCACAGTGCTTTGGGAACGTGTGAGCCCATCAGTGTTTGAGTCTTGGCCCACAAATGTTGTGTGGGGAGTTGAAGGCCATGTTCTCTTGCTTTCTGTGCAGGTTGTTCTGGATAAAGAGCAGGAGCAGATTGATTTGTCAGAGATGCCATGCCAGACTGAGGGAGAGCTGTTGCCAGCCCGAGAGCAGGAAGAGCAGCTTGGGCAGCAGGTGGAAGAGCCACTGGAGAATGGCCAGGTTAGCCTGACTCAGCAGGTGACAGAGTGCAGGGCAGGAAGAGGGGCATAAAACACAGCTCTTGGGACTGAGGAGGCCAGGAGTCCCAGAGGCACTGAAAGCACAGAGCCTTGTAATCTGCAGAGATCAGCACTGGGACAGGAGGGTTACAGTGGAAGCAGAGGTGGTTAAGTAGGCAGAAAGAAGTGACTAAATGAGTGTGATTTTGAGGCTGAAAGAGGGAAAAGCTGAGCCTGATGGCAGCTCCCAGTCACTTCTTCTTCCTTTGTGTGTACAGAACATCAAGGCAGAGCCACAAGCAGAGCTGCCTGAAGCTCAGAGTGCCATTGTGGCAGTGAAGAGGAGGCACCAGGAAGACATGAGGAACATTCAAGAGGAGATGACACTCTATCGGCAGAGAAGAGATCTACAAAACAAGGTGAGTGATAGAGTGGCAGCCATTCCACTTATCAAGCTGTCTCTCTCATGTGTTTTAGAGGACAGCAAGGAAAATCTCCAGGCAGAGATGCAGGATATTCGGGCTAGGATCAAGGAAAGGGAGAAGAGGCTGGAGGAAGAAATGAAGATGGTTGAAGAGGAAATCAATCACCTGATTCAGGAGAAGAATTTTCTACATAAACAAGTGAGTGAAACAGCGATAGGCACTGCAGTCACTGCAGTCTGGTGGTTTGTGCCCTTCTTGCCTTTCCCCTGCAGAGCAGCAGGGAGCTGGGGTGATGCCCCTCAGTGCCATCCTGCTGTAGTGTCTATCCCAGCTGCTTTGAAGGAAACTTGCTGGTGTGCTGAATCCCAGCTGCTGCTCCGGACAGTGGCACAAGTCGCTTTCCCCTTTTGCCAGCACTCGTCTGAATGCATTCCCGCTGGCCTCTTCCTGCTCTCCTTGTTTTTTCAGGTGTTTTTGCAAGTGAACACAGTCACCCAGATAGATGTTGAACACAAGCCACAAGCTGTCTGTATCCCTTGGGGAATCTGCTCCTCTCCTGCTCGTTCCCTTTCCTCACAGTCAATGAGCCTTGGCAGAAAGGGACAAGCTGTAGTCTCTGACTGCTTTGTTCTGTTTGACTTGAGGTTGGAGTGTTGACATCTCACCTGGCAGCCTGGGAAGGCTTCCAGCAAATGACTGGTGATGAAGAGCCCCAAGGTTGGCGTGAGGCACAGCAACTGTCCCAAGCAGAGATGCTGAAGGTTGAGCGTGTCTCCAAGATGGTGGAGGAAAAGTGGACT